TTTTTTTGTTTTGATTTGCTTTTTTTTTTTTTTTTTTTTACAGTTTCTCAGTCATACAGTATCCCACCATCAGGTTCTGATATTTCCAGATTCTGGACTATCTCCCTACGCAATGTTGGAAACATGTCTTCCCTGCCAGCATTTTATTTTAAGAAACCTCTAAAAAAAAAATAAAAAAATTCTTTTCCACTGATATAAAGACTAATATAAAAATCTGGGTGTATTTAATATGAAATGATGGACAACGTGGATTGTCTACGTGCTCTAAAAAAAAAACAAAAAAAAAAACAAGCTACTGTAAGTATGGCTAGAACTTATAATGACAAACATAAGAGCTTCAAAGTAAAGGTAGTTGAAATAAGGTAGGACTCAGAGTAAACTTTGTCAATAAAATCATCCTCTATTTTAAGTGTTTTCTAACTTTTGGACTAGTTGACTAGTCTAAATCTAAATTTCTGTTTAACCTTCTGAAATTAAATAAACCTTGAACCCATAAAACCCTAAATCTGGGGCGTTTGAAAGAAATATCTTTTTAAAAATCGACAGAATTACACCATTTATCACAGCCAGTTACTAAACAACACAAAAATGTATTATGTTTTTTATTTTTAAATTTTCCAGTGGTCTTTATAGTGACTGTTCTTGATGTATCATTTTAAAACAATGTTTGTAGTAAATGGATTCTGTAAAAAAAATGAAAAAAAATATGTTTTCCTCAGCACAACCAAGAGGCTCTCAATTACCAACCGTCACATGATAAAACAATTTCAGCTGAACTGCAGGCTGTGTTTACAATGAGCATAGAGAAGACAAGTGAAGAAACAAAATAAAAATGTTAAATATTTATGATATTCTAACTGTTTCATACTGCACAGAAGACATTTCTGAGTTCTCTCTCCCTCTAGCTATGATCATGCTGTTTCCATAGAGGTGTAGGACTTTATTTTATATTGACAAATGAGTTCACAGTGAATAAAAATTTGAGGAGCATAAAAAACCTGTTTGGTTTGGAGGCTAATACTATCCCCTGTGCATTTAAAAAAAAATGTCGAACCATTCTTCAAAAAAAATGACACAATTCAATCACTAATTCTCAAATCTGATATGATAAAAACATGTGAGTGCAGTGACTTCACAGCTCACTGTCTAAAAGAGCTTGTGTGATGTGTGTGTTCATGATGTGTGTCATAGGTATGTGTGCTGCGAGCTTTTTAATCCATGAATAAAAGAAAAGGTGGATGTATCTCTTCACCAGCCACATCAATTGTGAAAGACGGCAGAGAGCAGAGCTTAGAGGAGCCAGAGAAGAAAGGAGGAAAGCTTTTAGCTTAAACCTCAGGGTGGCCATGACCCCAACGTCAACGTGGAGAACATTCACCAATAAATTATGAGGTCGAGGAGAAGTACAAGCAGACTGTGATAGAGAAACACAGACAGCTCTTTGGTTCTAAGTGTTAAAAGCCAGATATGTGGCAGTTTCAGTAACAGCAGTTCATATTTTTTCTCTTTTCAATTTACCTTTCGTTATAAGAATTATTTGTTACAGTGTGATTCAGTTATAAAGACTCCAACCTGAGAGCGCTACTAAAGCTTTTACTGTATAGACTAGAATATGTGCTCTAAAAGCAAAGGACTCATATTTCTAAAGAGGACATGTTGACTCTATAAACCTGTTCTTATTTCCCAGCTGTCCATTAAAGTCTTTATATAAGATGCTGTAGTGAGGGGCGATATTCCAGGAGGTGCAACAAAACATGGCTCCAATCAATCACAGCTGACCTTAGTGTCGATCAATGACCTGCTCTGTTTTTCAGAGATGCCCAGTAGGCCTTTATGAGTAAATCATCAAAAGACAGTGCTGGCTGAGTAAAAATTGATTACAGTTTAGGAAATATCCACCAGGTAACAACAGAATCGGGCCATAAAACATGATAACAGTGTGAAGCAGCAAAACATTGGATGCGCAGTCAGTCTATATTTCACTGCAGCAGATTGGTCCTGAGCAGCAGCATGATGGATCCGATTCAGCGTCCAATCACAAACGTCTTAACAAGAGCACTTTACAAAAAAATTACCCTCCCTTTCCTACGTCTTTGAGAAACAGATTTTTGAGGATGAGCAACACTCGTTCTGCTGAGGACGTTTCGCTGATACGCCATTAATCCCAACAAAGGAGAGTCCTCGCGTTCGAAGCCTTTTCTTGTGGTTGAAAAATGAAACACGCTAACACACATTAGTGTATCTTGTCTATCAGTCCCACACTCACACTCTTCTGTCAGCCTCAGAATCATTTTCTGTGACATTTAGTATTTTTCAACATGTCTTTTTCAGTTATGCATCTGTGACTGATTACCTCACTGTTTCGTTTCTGCTGTGAAGACGTCAGGGCCTCAACTAACAGCTATTTAGATACCTAAATAATTAAATTAACTGACTAAAGAGATTATAAATTGCTGCTCTACCTTTTAATTACTTATGCACTTTAAAATTTTGCTTGAATTGGTTTTAGGCATGTGTTGGCTGACAATAAAGAATAAAAATGCTCATTGTGCATTTTTGTAATATGGTGCATATTTTGTTTTTTTTGTGATTTATATGATTAAATGATTTTATGTGATGTTGCTGCCACAACACTGTAGCTACCTAGTTTTAGTATATTATAAGGGAGTAATGGTGCACAGAAAATCATGGAGTTGTGGAGTTTTTGGCACAATAAAAACAAGAAATACAAAATATGAATCTTTCTCTGTTTTCTTCTATATCAAACACCAGTTTACTAAACAAAGTATGGCTGTCTTTCTTAACAGCATCTGTTAGTGCTGCTGCAATAGGCTGCTACTTGCTATTAAAGAAGTAAAATTTGCTAAATAACTATTTACTTAAATAAATAATGAAACAAAACAATACCTGTGCTTAGTCTGTACTGTACTTGTATTCATATGAGCAGCTTTGGCTTCATACTCAGACTGTGCAAAATAGACTTTCTCTCAAATGAAAAAGACACAACATCTATAAAGACCTGCTGTGATGTGCTGGTTGAAATGCAGATGAGAGGGAACTTGGTTAATGGACCTCGATTACTTTCAGGATGTGTTTAAAACCCAGCAACCCAGGTGTTTGTCATCATAGGTTCGGTCAGAATTTTTAGCAAGAGGCCGCTTTGCTACCACGAGGAGCTGCTTTGCACTTACTTCTCTTCTTGTATCACTGATGTTTACAGTCAGGTGATGTCTCAAATAAGTGACCAAGTTCAACATACAACCAGCTCCTGATCGCTAATCGATCACAGGTGAACAGTGCCAGCATGTAGCGTCATCTGATTCACCGTCATTGTCCACAGGCAGGTAACTGAGAAACCGAAGTGTTCCCAAGCAGCATATTTTAATAATAATGGAGGCTCTTCAAGCTCTATGTTTGAAATAACTACAAGGGAGAAATGTGGACTTTTTTTCAACAGAGTTCCACACAGAAAAAAGTAGAGGTTGCTCTCATGTGGTACATGTTTGCCCAAATTTTTTTAACACAAATAACTGATGTATAACGTACTGTTATACATCAGTTATATTATGTTGAAAAGCTGGTAAACCTGACAAGCACACAGAGAGGACCAGGAAAGACTTTGTGGATATGCTGATGGTCTGATAGCAGATACACCATTGCAGCCTGGTGTCTTTTATCAAGAGAGCCTTTGTCGGTTAGTAACACATTGAGAGCAACTCCTGTCATTACAACTGAACTGCATACTCTTTTCAGGCTGGGATTGTGGTGGCCGACGGGGGCAAACGACGTGCATAGACACAAACGAGCTGCATATAGATTAATGCATTGCATAAACAGAATGCACATACATACACAGAAAACACAGAATACTGCAAAGACAAAACACTGCAAACAAAAACGTGCTGCAAAAACAAAACACGCTGCAAAAAGAAAAAGCTGCAAACACAGAAATGCAGTGCAAAAGGAAAACACTGCCAACACAGAAACGCGCTGCAAAAAGAAAACACGACATATCCCCTCTCACAACGGAAGTGCCCCCCGGCAATGTTTGGGGGAAATTTGCGCTCGTTGCTAAGGCAACCCTGTTAGCATTGGCACTCCGCCTTACCATAGACCCGGAAGACATCCATGTCCTGGGACATGTAATAATATATATTATATATATTATATATATCAGTGTTTCCTTGACGTTTATTTAGAAACGGCGGCCCGCCATTCCTAAATCCTCGCAGCCTCTCCTTCAAATGTCTTTTTCTGCTGTGAGTGTCTCTACCTTCACAGCAGTGTCCTGCACTGGGCTGGGTGCTCGCGACGACTATGGTAAACTACAGATAACTATCTTGCTAAGTATCTACCCTCTGGGGGTTAACACAGTAACAGGAATAAACAGGACCACATGAGAAAAAATGACTCGGTTTTCTTATATTGTGGTCAGTACTCACACGAAGCAGACACACGGGGTACTGTTTCAACCCAACCGGGTTCTGGACTTTAGTAAAACTTTGTTGTGTGTTGTACACTCAACTCGGTCTGATAACTCAGGGGGTGTCACATAGAACAAGTCTGTGTGTCAACACGGAACCAAACAATAGTTCCCATTGTTACATCCTTTCTCTTTTGAGAGTTAGAGCTGTTATCTCAAAATTTGGCTTGTCCCTGGCTGTAACTAACAAATCAAAACTCTTTAATACTAACAGTGCTTATTGCTGCAACATAAACATTCCTTCTTGTTTCTCGCTTTAACAATAAAAATCTTCCCTCAGCAACTGATGAAAACAGAAACTAATGAAAATCCTGTAAACATTAACTGTCAATCAAAGTGAAATGCATCTCTTTCACAGTTTGCTATTACTCCACTATTAGCTAAGAACCTGAAATGTGCAAATAACCACATAAATATAAACATTTATAAACCATAACCTTGTGTGCTTGTTTTCTTTCCCAAAGTTCATCAGTGACACAGATCTATTTATCTGCCTAATAGCACAAAGTCCTTATACCACTGTGGCTGCACCACTGCGCGACCAGCTCTGGTTGTGGCAGGCATGTCTTTGTCCCCAGTGTCTCTGGGTGGAGGCGGGGGAACAGTATCTGAATGTTCATGTCCCACAGCCTCTGCCTGACTGGGGATGCTGATCTCCATATCGGCAGGGTAACTAAAGCTCATCCCAGGTGCACACCTGGGGTGTCTGCAGTTTCTCTGAATGACACCCCCAGAGTGCAACTGGACCTCATAGGACTTCCCATCGACTGGCCTCAGCACCTTGCCTAACGTCCAGAAAGTGTGGGGTGGGAGTGGCTGTCTTCTCACACAGTCACCCATGGCAAGCATGTCTAAGTCTCTAGCTGCTCTGTTGTAGTAGATCTACTACATCAGAGTTGCTGCTTGTTCTTCAGATCCTGTCTGACCCAAATAACCTTTGGCTTTGGGAGGCTTGCTTTCATTGGCAGCAGTGCTTTGGTACGGCAACTGAGCAATCGCAGTGTGCTGGACTAGTGTCCAGGCCCTGTGTCGGTGTGTTGCAGTGATCAAGAAGTGCAAGATTCTCTAGCCCTCCGTAGGCATCCTTCTACACCCAGATGTGATGAGTGTTGCCAGATCGTGATGTCTGTCCTCAGTGCATCAGGAATGACAGCACGTTCACCCCTGAAAACTATTCCATCTTGCTGGCTCAACTCCCAGTAACTCCAAGTAAGGCCTGATTTCACTCGGTACATGTGACTTATCCTTAGGCCATCTCTGCCTCATTGTTTTCATGAGAAGCTGCAAAGTTTTGTCTTTTGCTGTAGTAGACCTTATGTCCTGTAGTCTGTCTGCCAAGATCGGTAAGTGTTGTACCATGTTGACAGTCTCTAGTTCAGCCTCCCCAGTTGTACTCTCGGGAAGATAGGCTCTGCTTCGGGTGTCCGCTAGTAACATGTCTATTCCTGGCACATAGATGACATCTACGTCAAATTTTTGTATGCGCAACATCATGCCCAGCAGGCTTTTGGCCGTTGTCAGTAGGGGTTTTTGTACTATGGTTTCCAGTGGCTTATGACCAAAACTTAGGTTAGGTAATTCACCATACCTATCAACCTCTGCACTGCTTTTACATCTGTTGGTACCGACATCTGCTCAACGACACACACTATTTCTGGATCCACTTTGAGTCCATCAGCCATCAAGCGGTGTCCAATGTATGTGGTCTCATTTTGTCTCAGTGTGAATTTTTCTGCATTCAGTTTTATGTTCTTTTGTCTGCATCTGTCCAGAAACTGTTTCAGTTTTTCATCGTGATCCCGCCTCGCTTCCTCTAGTGTCTCCCCTTGTCTGTGATCAAAATGTCATCTGCAATAATGTACAGACCAGATACATTGTCCAACGCTTGTGTGAGCTTTTGCTGGAAAATTTCAGGAGCTGGACTTATCCCCATCGGCATCTTCAGCCATCTGTAATGTCCAAATGGAGTGGCAAATGTTGTCAAATAGCTGGACTCTTCTTCCAGCTGTACATGCCAGAATCCACTCTTGACATCACACACTATGAACACTTTAGCTTTAGACAAGCCCGGTAAGATGTCCTCAATGGTTGGCAGTGGGAAGTGACTGCACTTTAGTGCTGTGTTCAAGGGTTTGGGATCAATACATACTCTTGGCTTGCCATTCTGTTTCTGCACTACCACCATCGCACTGATCCAGTCTGTGCTGCATTCTACAGGCATGATGATTCCTCTGTGAGGGTCATAGACTGTGTTCACTGTGTTTTTGGGTTTTTCCTGCTTTTGTGTTTTGGTGTGGGCGTGTTATTTTTCTGTAGGCTGTAGCCGATCGGGGAAGGACTCTCACGCTGGCAGCTGTGGCTCATCGGCTCATCAGCCGTGCCCTGCTTAAATACTGGCGTTTCACAGAAGACCGACGCCAGAGGATTGTGATACCTACCCTGTGTGTTCCTCCTCGGCTCCAGCACCCAGCACTCCTCCAGGCACACCAGCGCTTGCACCCACGGGAATTCACGACCACGGGCACCTTCACCAGGAGAATCTTTACGAGAGCAACCGCCCACGAGCACCGAACCCCGAGCACCGGACCCCTGCGCACCACCCTGGTTTCCCTCATCACGGCTCCCTCTCAGCACCAGGAAATCCTCCACGGACAAAAGCACGCACGAGCACCGGACTTCCTCGGTCCACCACCCTCGGCACCCCCCCACAACCGACACCCCTTCACCGGACTTTGTTTCTGCGTCCTGGTGCCCATCACTCCACCACCTTCCCTAATAAATCCTGTTTCCTTTAACCCTTCTCCCCGTCTCCCTTTTCGTTTGGGTCCGCCTGCACAGTCACTGAGCACGAACCGTCACATCCTCTGCGTTGCAGGTCTTCCTTCAGCGGTTTCATCAGGGCCACTGGGACCCGTCTCTTTGGCAGCTGCACCAGCTTTACTGTGTTGTCCACCTCCATTTTGTATTTTCCTTCCAGGCAGCCATCTCCAGCGAACACATCTGCATAACTTACTTTGATTTGTTCCATTGTCCACTGTCCTGTTGTAGGTTTTTCTGTTGTGACTACCCTGGCTATTACCATGATGTTCTCATAGTGTACTTTTATCAGTTTCATTGCCTCACTGGCTCTCCTACCCAACAGAGGCACTGCACCATACGCATTCACCACTTGGAACTCCAAGTGATACAGCTTGTGATTTCTTGGATTTCTTTTTTTATCTTTGCATTTTCCCATTGGCCTCAGCTTACTTTTGTTGTACATCACTAATACACTTTTGGTGTGTTCCAGCTTGGTGTCTGGGTTCAGCAGGTTAATGGGAATGACATTGCAACTGGCGCCACAGTCTATCTGGAATTTGACCATGTTTTTGACTACCAGCATGCCAGCATGGAGAAGCTGCGTGTCCCCTTCATCTGTTTCAGTCCCTTTTACGTCCCCTCTCTCTGGGTCCACATCTTTGCCTGAGTCTGTCTCCACTGCACCAACTGTCTCAGTCTCTGTTACAGTGATACAGGAAATATCTTCATATTCATCACTCACACATTCTGCAGTTATTCTATTCACATTTTTCTTTCTTCTTTGCTCCAGTTTTGCTTTGCATTTGGCTGTGAAATGGTTCTATCTGCCACACTTTGCACACTTCTTTCTGAAGGCTGGACATTTCTGTTTACTTTTCTCATGTGTTTTCCCGCAGAACTGACACTCCACTGTGTTGTTAACTTTCCTCTGGTACTGTGCTCCTTGCACAGCATGTAACTCTTCTACCAACAGTTCAGTGATGGTTTTAACGTTCTCCTTAGAGAGCTCCGCGGCTCTGCACAGCTGCAAACATGTGGCGACTGGCAAGTTTTTCTCCCAAAAGCGGTCTTTCTCTCACAATCCTATCACGTATGAGCGAATCTCTCTAAGTTCCGAAGTACATGTTTTAGCCAATAGTGTCAGTTCTGTGACATGTCTATATTTTCACTGGTGCCCTGGTTTCTTGTAAAGAAATTATATCGTTCAACAGTCTCATTCACGTTGGGATTGCAGTGATCATCAAACTTTTTGATAATGTCCTCTATCTTTCATGCATCCTTATCTGTGTTGCCCATCAATATATCCAAAAGTTCTCACCGACAAGATAGCTGAACAGCTTCACCTTCTGTTTGTCATCCGCTTCTGCCATTGCCAAATCCACATAAAGAGCAAACTCGTCCCTCCAGTTCTTCCATGTTTTAGAAAGGTTGCTGGAGTCCAGACACAATGTTTGTGGTGGCTTCAATCCGTCCATGGAATCGCACGGCAGTCACACGCTAGCGGCCAAAGCTAACATGAATTACCACACCGTCCCATCAAGAGAAAACCTTTATGCACCTACACTTCAGACCGAGTCCTCTACTGCTGCCATCATGTTATATTCTGGTCAGCACTCACATGAAGCCGACACATGGGGTACTGTTTAAACCCACACGGGTTCCGTACTTTAATGAAAGTTCGGCGTGTGTTGTACATTCAACTCAGTCTGATAACTCAGGTGGTGTCACACAAAACAAGTTTGTTTGTCAATATGGAACCAAACAATAGTTCCTATTGTTACAGGTTTCATCTTGGACAAATCTGACATTAGAACGCCCTAGTTTACTCTTTTTTAAAGTCACCTTTGGTCGTACACTGGTCTGAGCAACCCAGCCACCAACAGCAGCGAGCACAGCCTGCTATGTGGGGCGTTCAGGGAACATCGTAAATTATACAGTCCATCGATATGAAAATGTTTAGCCGATCATATGTTTTGCCTTTGACAAGGTGGGAAGTGCGAACAAATGAGAAAGTTGGTTGCACTGGTAAAAAAAAAAAAAAAAGAAAGAAAGAAAGAAAAAGAAAAAGAGCTAATCTGCAGTCCTGTGTGGACTTCGGTGTGGCACGAGCGTTGTTCGGTAAACGGCTACGTATGCAGTTACGTAAATAGCGAAGGTGAAGCCAATTTTATCAAGACCTGACTTGGAGAAATTAATCCATGCTTTTATTACAACTCGTCTTGATTATTGTAACTCCCTGTATGTAGGGATTAGCCAGGCTTCCCTTGCCCGTCTGCAGCTTGTGCAGAACTCTGCTGCACGCCTGCTAACTCAGACCCGTAGGCATGAGCACATCACACCTATCCTGGCTTCCCTACACTGGCTCCCTGTGCGCTACAGAATCAATTTTAAGCTTCTTTTATTTGCTTTTAAATGTCTACATGACCTTGCTCCACTGTACCTCTGTGATCTGCTTCAGCCTTACAGCCCACCCCGATCCCTAAGATCAGCTGATCAGCTGCTGCTGGCTGTCCCCAAAACAAGGCTGAAGCTAAGAGGAAACAGAGCGTTTGCCGCTATTGCCCCCAAGCTCTGGAACGAGTTGCCTTTGCGCATCCGACAGGCCCCGTCACTTCCTGTTTTTAAATCTCTTTTAAAAACACACTTTTATTCCTTGGCTTTTAATACACTCTAATACATTTTAGCTTATTTAATTCCACTCTGTCTGGCATTCCCTGATTAAGCACCTGCTTTGAGCTTGTTTGTTTGTTTGTTTATTTGTTTATGCTTTAACTTTTATTGTCATGTATCAATGTACAGCACTTTGGCTACCTCTGTGGTTTTAAAAATGTGCTATACAAAAAATATAATATAAATAAAGTGATTGTATGGCATGGCTTTGACTTGACTCCTGGCCAATGAAAAAGCAACTCGTTCTTTGGAGGTGCCAGATTTGAACCAACTAAGCACTGGAACTAGCACCTGGTCCTTCTTGGTGTAAAAGGGGTAGAGTCAGAGGAAGGTCGTCTTGTAGGATAGAGCAGTGACTTAACAGAGAAAAGGTAGACTTATTAGCTTAAGGTAACTCAGAATAGATTTTAAAAGTTAAACAGACTTTCAAAACATTGATGGCCCGCTATTGGTACATAACAGATTGGTAGCTTACATTAATTGGGCCCGGGGCCAACTAAGTGTCGCTAACGTGAGTAAACTAACTGATAGCATTAAGCTAATATCTACACACCATGATGGAACTACTGACTGCATCTTCAGATGAGCTTGTTCAAATATTTCTCTAACAAGAGAAAGACACCAGATGAAGATGACACGAGCCAGGTGTCATTAGCCTTTTACTGACTCATAAATGATGATGGTCAGGTAAAAAATAGTGTAATAATACATTATCAGACACAAACTAGAAACTTTTTTTGCAATGATGAGGATGTAGGAAAATGAGAGAAACAATCTCATTATTGTTTCTATTTGTAGGTGAAGACTGAGTAGAGAAACATACTGCAGGGGATCAGCTTGCATCATGCATGCTGCTGAGCATCAGCAGCCACCTCTTGGAGGAATTCTCTACAACAGAGCCTTGGAGCTGTTTTTTTTTTTTTTTTTTAAATCAATAAATCAATAAATAGGTTGTAAAAGTGGGGCTGCAAAGCGACTCGGTGGTTAGCATCATTGCCTCTCAGCAAGAAGGTCGCCAGTTTGCGTCCCGGTGAGGACACCCCGGATCTTTCTGTGTGGAGTTTGCATGTTCTCCCTGTGTAGCGTGGGTTCTGTCCGGGTTCTCCAGCTTCCTCCCACAAGGTCCAAAAACATGTTCAGGTTAATAGGTGATTCTAAATTGTCTGTAGGTATGAATGTGAGTGCACTTGGTTGTCCTTCTCTAAGTGTCACTAACTGACCCTGTAGGACAGATCTCTTCCTGGTCTGCGGCAAAGCCGCGTGCCGACGCCAAAGTGGCAACAAGCGCAAATTTTCCCCAAACACTACCGGTGTAATAAAAACACAAAAAAATGCCACAATACGATGTACTGTTTTACACTTTACACTCTCTACGATTACAGTACATCTTCCGGTTGCCGTTTTCCTGCATGTGTCCTTCTTTTCAGACTACACGTGTGGGCGCACACATCTGTTTAGTGATCTCTATAGTTATTAGTGTGGACAGGCCATAACAGTAAAACTGGTCAATGCCTGACTGACGTAACAAAAGAACGACAAAAACATCACAGTATATGCGCTGTCTAATAGGAGAAAAACGTGTCCCAGACACGGAACATAATGCCAGTTGAAATGTATTGGATTGAAATTCGTTTGTGGGGCACTTCCGTTGTGAGAGTGGATATGCAGCGTTTTCTTTTTGCAGCACATTTCTGTGTTTGCAGCGTTTTTTTTTTTGCACTGTGTTTCTGTGTTTGCAGCGCATTTTTATTTATGCAACGCATTCATGTATATGCAGCTTGTTTGTGTTTATGCACGTCGTTTGCCCCGTCGACCACCGTATGGGATGCAGTAGGAAAGACTTTTACTTTGAAAGAACCACATAGTCAGATGCGAGCCTGAGGTTCATGTCAAGTGTGAGATCATTATTCTTTGACCTACGTTTCCTTTTCACTTGTTGCATAATTAGGTTTAGGACAAAATCATGCTTTAGTTGACACAACCAAACAATGACAACCACAAGGACAACTGTTATAAAAATGATGTGGTTAGGTTCTGAAAAATATCAAGGTTTAGGTTGTCTGGGTTACCACTATGACCAGTTGTACTTCATCTGATAAGATTAGATGAGACAGAACTTTATTAATCCCAACAGAAATGGTACTTTTGCCTGATATAGCATGGAAAAAATTACAATCATATGAGAAAAAAATGCAGTGCCTTATAGAATACCAATTAAATATATCCATGTATTATTTTAAAAAATAAAGTTAGTAGGCTAAAATAAAACTAGAGTAGAAAAGTTTAAAGTAATACTTCAATGATACAGAAGTAATATTGCACATGATAACGTAATATTGCGATATAATGAAATATTTCACGTTATAATGAAATATTGCATAGTTACACACATACAACAAGCCTGAAAAACAGCTTTTTCCCCTGGAGCTATTAAACTGTTAAACAAGGCCCAACTCCAACTAACACACAAACACTCATTGAAGCTCCATTGGAGAACAGATCACTGGACTGTTTACACTGTTCTTGTGTGAAATTTACTCTATTATGTCTGTCTTTCCTGCTGCCACACCTACAACTTTAGGCACTCCACTTTGGCATATTTATTAAGCTTTCAAATGTCCTAATGTTACCCTGAATTGAATGTCCTTTGTAGAAAGTGCTTTGGTTTTTGTGCTGCTTTTGCTCAAAAATGCTATTAAAATGTCATTGTAATGCTGTGTAATGATAATGTAGCTTCTAGTCGAAACTGAAATATTGCACATAACATTGAATTATTGCACACAATACCATGATATTAGACAATAACACGGTAATGTATTATCGGTTTGTGGAAAAGGAGCAAGAGTTAAGAAGATAATAAAAGACACATTCATTTGAAGCGTATTTGTGATATGTCACAAACAATAGAACAAAACATTCTATCCAAATGTAATTGAAAATGCACTCTAGTTGTATAGGAACATCATTTTTGGGAGACAGGGCTGTTTCTGTGATAACTTGTCAAACTGAGGCTGGGCTAATGTTGTTGACAACGTGAATGGTAGATGTTCCAGGTGAGCTTTCCAACCACGATCTCTGTTTTTAACTGAGCTGTCCTGCTGTAACTGTAGTATAAAGATCATCGTTACTGATTCTGAACCTGGCAGGCTGCTTGGCTACAGCAGCAGAAACTCTGGTTATACTATACTCATTCTACAACCCTTGTTCTTCTAGTTCTCCTGTGCTGAGATCAGTTATGCGCTTGGCCTGTATGTTCCTAAGTGTGGAAGGGTGCTTATTCTTTCATGTAATCATGTCTGACAGTGGGTCACGTAATGCGTTTCACAGTTACAATTGTTGGGAATTAATTTGGTCATTGATTTTTGTCGACTGCGCTGATCATTTGTCGAACCCCTAAAAGCTGGCAAGTGACTTTATGAACAAACTCTCCCTTATCATACATTTACTTTGTTTAGGGCAAACAAGCCTTAGAGCAGCTCTCAGAAGTTCCTGCAGGTTCAAAGCACCAGACTGCAACCAAAACAGTGTTCAAGATACTAGAGATACTGACTGAGTTTGTGAAGAAGATAAAGTAACCAAATACATTCAATCCTAACAGCTAACACAGTGCTGGGGCTAAAATTTTAAATGAATATAAACAGCAGTCATGAATTTGTCTTCCCAAGTTAAAGGCACATGACTGACTGTGGTATTGACGGTTAAAATGTACTCGTAAAAACCATCTATCCATTATCTATACAGCACTTTGTCCTCTGTAGGGTCACGGGGGGGCTGGAGTCTATCCAGTGGCAGGCGTTTAGGGACCAAATCATGTGCTTGTGACTAAGTGACACAATATTAAGGCTACCAACAACCCAAAATGAAGCACTTTATGCAGAAAACTGCTACATTACACTAACACTGTAGAAACAACATCTGATGTTGTGATCATGTTACTTGTTGTCAATAATAATAATAATAATAATAATAATAATAATAATAATAATACATTTTATTTATAACGCACTTTAAATTTTAAACAAAATCTTAAAGTGCTACAGAGTTAAAAACAATACAAAAGAAAAGAGAGACATGATAATCATAGATTGTCTATGCTAAAAACTTTGGTAAATATAAAAATAAATGTTTTTAGGTGCTTCTTAAAAGACACTACAGACTGCAGAAACCTCAGGTGTTCAGGCAGGGCATTCCACAGCCGTGGAGCAGCAGCCTGAAAAGACCTGTCCCCCATTGTGCTCAATCTCGTCCTTGGTGGGCAAAGGAGGTTTGAGTCAGAGGACCGTAGACGTCAAGTGGTGATGCGTGGAGTCAACAGCTCTATCAGGTAAACCGGGGCATGGCCATGCAGACACTGGAAGGTCGGCAGGCAAATTTTATATACCTATCCTCCAACGGACGGTTAGCCAGTGGCGGGACCACAGTATGGGGGTAAAATGATCATATTTGCGCCTCCTCGTCAGGATCCGGGCAGCGCAGTTCTGGATGTACTGAAGCTTCTGCAGGCTTCTACCCGGGATCCTGATGAGGAGGGCGTTACAGTAGTCCAGCCTGGAGGAGACAAAGGCGTGGAGCAGCCTCTCAGCATCACTGAGGGAGAGGAAGGGACATAGCTTGGAAATGTTTCTAAGGTGGAAAAATTAAACTTTGCAAAGGTGGTGAATATGGTGATCAAATGCAAAGTTGGAGTCAAAAATGACCCCTAGGTTTTTCACAGAGGTGGAGAGGGGGATGCAGTGGCCTGAGAAGGAAAGAGTTGCAATGGAGGAGGACTGGAGTTGGTGAGAGGTGCCAACAAGAATGGCTTTACTTTCAGTGCTGTTAACCTGAAGAAAGTTTTGTGTCATCCACGCCCTTGTCTCCTCCAGGCAGGTGATGAGATTTGATACGGTGGCCATCAAGGAGGTGGGATCAGTCCGCAGGTAGAGCTGAGTATCATCGGCATAGCAATGGAAGGAAATACCATGCTTGCTAATGATGTGACCCAGGGGGAGCATGTAGATGGTAAATAAGGTGAGACTGAAGTTTCTCATACAGGCCAAAAGTCTGAACATGGTAATCAAGCTGGCAAGCCACAACCTTTTCCAATACCTTTGAAAGAAAAGGCAGGTTGGAAATGGGCCTATAATTTTCCAGGATGCTTGGATCCAGACCTGGGGCCTCATTTACAAAGACTTCCGTGATTTCATACTGAAACGCTTCATACGCTTCAATCCAGGAAACTGTGTACGCACAAAAAAATTCAGATGAACGAAAGTGTGCGTACACCTGAATCCAAGCACATTTCCTTTGTACATCTCACTCAGCGTGGAATTGATTGCACATGTTGGAGTACCAGACTCCTCCCTCTCCACGTCCCCAATTTAAATATGCAAATTAGTATAAGTAGGACCGACAGGTGGTATTCCCCTCTCTGCACGATCAGATAACACGAACCACAATGAGAAAGAAAGGTAAAAAGAGAAATTTTACGAAGTGCAAGTTGGAGACGCTTATAAATGAAGTTGAGGCCCAGAAAAGTGTCCTTTTTGCCTCGCTGTCGTCTGGAATGAATACAAAACGTAAGAAGAGTGAATGGGCAAATGTGTGTGAGGCGGTGAATGCTGTCGGCTCCGAGCCGCACACCCTCACAGAAATTTTAAAAAGTGGTCAGACATCAAGGTGGATGTGAAGAGGAGGATTGTCACCCATCGCCAAAGCGTGGCCCAAACAGGCGGGGGCAGAGGTGAGGATCAGCTCACCCCGTATGAGCAAAGAGTTGCCACTATTGTGGGTGACACTGCTCTCACTGGGGTGGTGGGAGCACACGTGGATGACTCAGATCACCTCCAAGGTAAATATTTATTGTGTATGTGTGTAACTCACAAATTTATTCATTATACGGGTCATACAATAATCTGCTAACAGCCAAACAAGATACAGGTTCTTGCGTAACCATGCCGGATATCAAAGAGGAAATCAAAGACTTTGTTTCATGTTTAATTACGCAATTTATTATTTGCCAACAGATAATGAGGCAGGAGAAGACAGTGAGGCGCAGTCCCAGCCTCGTGCCACAGACCTGGGGGCTTCCTCCAGCCTCCCCGGTGTCTGATGCCATCAGACCGGCCGTGTCCTCACCCGTGCTGTGCTGGATTCACAGGACGACATCGCGAGGGCAATCGGTGGCATTAATGAGCGCCTGCACCAATTAATTAATGTCCTTACAGACATTAATAAAACATTAAATGTACTTGCCAACAAATAAATTCTATGTCCTTGCCTTTTTATATGCCTGATATCACATGTTGCCGGGCCCGAATGGCCTCCCGGGCAGGATTGGCATCGACAAGTACAGCGTCTGGTTCGTCTGGTGGGGGGATGTGCTGCTCTGGCAGTGGGATGGCGTGCCGGTGTGCCACATTGTGAAGGACGCCACATGCCATCACAATGCGGCATACCTTTTCAGGTCTGTAGAGCAGCACACCCCCAGTCCGGTCCAGGCAGCGCCATCGCCCCTTCAGCATGCCAACTGCCAGCTCCATGACTGATTGCGTGCGTGAATGGGCATCATTGTACCTCCGCTCTTGGTCAGTCTGGGGATTGGTGAGAGGGGTCATCAGCCATATTTTTAGTGGGTCGCCATGGTCATCTGGGGTCAATTAAACAGACTCGTCATTAGGTCATTTAACAGACCACTAACATGGATCACACACTATTGTGAGTGAATGCAGTTGTGCGCCGGGAAAATGTGAAGTCACTTTAAACAATACGCACATGTTTTTTGACATATGTACTTTACACACAGAGACAGTAATGGGCTTGTTGGAAAGCGCTGACTCTGTAGTTTAAGCAGCAAAACAGCAAGTCATTAACTTTAACCACTGACAAGTAATGATGCTGTGAAAACAGGATGATATTCGGGGGCGCACATGCTCAATGTATGTCAGGGGGATTAATATTAGGACAATTAAATGATTTACTCACCAAGAAGCCACCCATCCCGCACTGTGCCAGCTTGTAGCCTGTTCCCAACCATGCTGCTGGTCAGAATGAAGTAATCATGTGTCGATCCAGGCCACCTCACAACAATGTTACTTAATTACATTTGCGCATCACAGATGATCTGTACATTGATGGAATGAAAATGCTCCCTGTTGACATAAATAAATTAATCTTGTGATGGTGCCTTTTTAGCAATGTGTGTGCAGTTGATAGCTCTGATTACATTAGGAAAACCGGCTCTCGCTGCAAATTGTGCTTTGATGTCGGCCTGTTCAACTGCAGTGTATGGGAATTTGATATACCTGGCTGACATTTGGATAATTCCATCCCACACAGCTGGCATTGCTCGGCTCAGTGTCGACTGGCACAGTCTCGATTGGTCGGCCAGCTCCCTCTGAAATGCCCCTGTGGCTAGGAAGCCCAGCATGGTCAACACCGGTATGGGCACAGGTAGGGCGTGGCTCCTGGCCGTGTTGCGTTCCAATAATGGTTGTAGCTCAGCGCACAGTTTTAAGAGGATAGCCTTCGGGAACCTAAAGCGGCTGATGAGCCAGTCGTCGTCCTGAGCCAAAAAATCGTCTCGGTCTCTGAAAACCCGTCCTTTTCGCACTGCTCCATTGGCAATATCCTCCAACAGTGCCAAAGCTGCCATTGTTGTTTACGGTACCTTCTGCTGCACCGTTTTACGCACACTTTTATTCCACTCATGTGATTTCAAACACCTGGGTGTGTTAATTGTTTATCTGTGTATCTCTGATGTGCACATCCCTTAGAGGAATTACCTTTTTTTACATTATTAACAGTTTCCCAGCATCACCTCTAAGTGTCGCCAACGGCTCAAAAGCAATAGAAACATGCGTACGCCAGTCAAGAAGTTGGCGTGGAGGACTGCACATTTCCACGTTCATTTCACTCTTGATACATCTGAACATGAGCGTGGATAAGTCCGTACGCCAAGTTTTTGTGTGTACACACGCTTTGTACATGAGGCCCCAGGTTTCTTTAGGAGTGACCTAATGAGAACTGTTTTGAGGGCTGATGGAAGCGAGGAGTTTATTATTACTGTTGTGAGGAGGACCCCATCCTGCAAACAGTGCATACCACCTGCTTCAGTGAGACCTCCTCAAACTCTACGAATCTGTTCACTGGCTCATTAGACTCAGCGGAGGAGCTAGATGTGAAACGGGCCAGAGACCTGCAGATGTCATCAATTTTGGCAGCAAAGAATTCACTGAATTTAGTGCACTGGTCATCAGAGGCAAAGGTGTTGGGGGGGCACATTTAGCTTCAGCAGGTGATTAATGGTGGAAAAAAAGCTATTTAGAATTCTCCGGGGCTTTGTTGATCAGACTGGAATAGTACTGAGAGCGAGCCATTTTTAGTGATTTGGCGTAATTTTTTTGATGCTCACAGTAGGCAGCTTTATGGACACTTAGGGGAGATGTTATAAAACGCCGCTCAAGACTATGCCCAGCTGCTTTCAGCTTCCGCAGTTCATCTGTATACCAGGGTGCAGACCGTGGGAAGGTGACTGTTCTTGTCTTCATGGGGGCATGTTTGTCTAGAATACCACAAAGTGCATGGTTGTAATATTCTACACAGTTAGTAGTGGAACACACCTCAATGGAGAGTTTTTGTAAATCCTCAAGCAGGTCAGTTAGTTATGACCAAGTCCAGCGTGTGACCCCTTGTGTGTGTGGGAACCCCAATGTGCTGTTTTAGTCCAACACAGTCTAAAATCTGTAAGAATTCTACTCCCAGGGGAGAAGAAGGGGAGTCCACATGTATGTTAAAGTCTCCAAATGTGAGACTACCCCCACTCTTTCAAATAGAACATCTGGATGACGAAAAAAAAAGTCTTGCCTCACTTTTAGGGCAAACACAATAGTTCTTAACAAAAAGCCAAAGGCAAAAGTAAAGCCACGGAAGCCAAAATCCTTTACCGGAATTAAAAGCATGCTGGAAATCAATTTAAAACTGTCACATATCAATATTTTTTTTTGTATACTCTTATTTTTTTTTGACTCTCATACTTATGTTCTGTTCATAAGTGGAGTTAAAAATACAATTACACTCAAAATATGTTAAACTGGGGCGCCCGGATAGCTCAACAGGTTGGGCAGGCGACCCATGTACAGGAGCTATAGTCCCCGACGCATCGGCCGCGGTTCGATTCCAGCCAGTGGCTCATTTGCTGCATGTCCTTTCCCCAATCTTCTCCCCATATTTCTCTGTCATATATATATATGATAAACTGGTGGTGATACACGCAAAACTGAAGCAAACATAGTATAAAGAAAAAACATGTTGACTCCCTGATTGTTGTCTATTACATGAGAGTATCTAAGAGCAGGAGGAGGTTGTTGACTCTTAAACTGTCCTTAGACTCAACTACATCCCCATGCAATGACATTGGAACAAAATGAATCACAGCTATGATGGATTACCAATTACAAGCAAAGTTCAAGCCTCTGAACATTGATTTTTATTCTGAGCATAAGTTAATGGAAGCAGTGATTGCCTGGAAGGCGAAAATCAATCTAAAAAAAAAAAAAAAACATAAGGCAAAATAAAAACATGCAAGGTTCTTTAAAAGTGCTGTTTCCTGATTTTCTAGCAGCAGCTGACTCGTCGATTTCAGTCCAGAGAGCTGCAGCAAACAGCAGTGGCTCACTCACATTCAGTTTATGAAGGACTCCTGAATCTACCTGTCAAACTGAAGAAGAAGCTTTTGGAGTTTGTGTGTATCTGTAACATGGTTCAATCCAACAAACAATTGGCCTCTGTTTCAGTGACTGACAGCCTTCATCTTACAGGAAGCTGAGGTCTGGACCAAGGCTTTGCATCTCTCAGCGTTTAAATTCTTCCTACATCACGCTTCAGAACTGTTGGACCATAAATTTCTCCAAAGCTCAGAGGGGCTTTGCTGGTGCGAGAACTCAGCACACCCCATGACAGGAATCAATCAATCCCTGACTGGGCAGCCGAGCGAAGCAGAGCTGATACATTGAACCTCGCAGCCCAGACTGCAGCCAATCAGGGTGAAAACAACAAGCAGACATCCTCTGTGTCCCACAATGCTCCACTCTCCTCTGCAGCTCTCAGACTAATCGAGGTACGAGGGAGACAAACACACCGACTAAACAGCATGACAGGCGCAGCTATCAGCATTGCTCCAAGCAGCGTGGATTATCACACACAGACGCTGTTTGTCGAAAGCGTCGACAGACCTACTTCAGTGGGATTCCCATATCAAAGGCAGATAGATGAGGGAGCAGAGCGGTGGCTTAGCGTAAGCTTTGAGGCAAATGGGAACTGAAATATTAACCTTTTAAAAGGCTTGGCTGCAGACACACTTGATTGTGCCAATCTGCTTTGAGTGACTTTGACAAGGCAAAGTGTTAGGGCGAGTTTGTGTGCGTGTAACTCAGTCAGACCGAAAATCCAAATTGTCACTCTAATCCCAGACAACCGTATCAAATCTCTCTATGGATCACAATTCATCATTTGCTGCAGACCTAAAATGAACAACATTTTCAATGCCCTTTCTGACTGCGTCTGTGGTGTCAGGCATTAAATATAGATTTGTCCTGGAGAGAGGAAATATTTTTGTTTTTCACTGAGAATTTCATCATCTTGCTTTTCCTTATTTCTCCACAGCTCCTCATGCAGCTTCAGAGGTTCTGAACTAATTCAATGCTGACATTCAACCAGGGGCCTTATACATGCTCAGTCTTAACCCTCTGAACCCCAAAACCCACTGGTGGGCTTGAGAGGCATGATTTCTTTCTTCTTCTTTTTTTTAACCCTGCAAATTACACCATTTATCATGTCAAGAAACTGTAAAAACTGAAAAATTGATTGGGTTTTCAACTTTTCAAAAATATCACGTGTGATGTACGCTTTTGACAGGAACAATAATGAAAAATACGATTTAAATTGTTATATTTCACCAAAATGTCTAGAGTTTTTTTGCAAAATTAAGCCATTTTTACCAGATTCTGTAAAAAAAATAAATAAATTAAAACTCACACTTGCCAAGATTGACTCAGCTGTACTAACAGTCACATGATGAAAATTCTGCTTTTTCAGGTGAACTGCAGGCTGTGTTTTCACAGAGCAGAGAGGAGACGACAAGAGAGACTGAGAGGAACAAGTTGTCGGAAGATAGATTTAGCATGGCAAAATATCTTTCTGAAGTAAGTAAGCTGAGCAGAGTGAAGAATGCAGTTTGTAGAGGCTGTAAAAATTTAAATTGGTATAAGTAATCAGTGTTGGTAACACCTGTCGGCAGTTGGAAAAATGTATATGTTGATTCCAGGTTTTTTTTTTTCAACTTTTGTAAATGTAATTATCAAAGATATTCAACTTTTTTAAAGATGTATGGCATTCTAACTGTGTCACACTGCACAGCAGACATTTCTGAGTTCTCTCTACTTCTACCCATGGTTGTGTCATTCCCATTAAGGTACAGGACTTTATATTGCAGCTGAAAAATGAGTCCACAGTGAGGAAAAATGTGACAGCACCAAAAACCACCCAGAAAGTGCTTTGAGTTCAGAGGGTTCAAAAAGGATTTAACCACAGCTTTTTTAAAAAAATTTTTTTGTTGTTGTTTTGTTTTTGTATCCTACATACTGAGATGAGGTCCCACATTTTAACTGGCTATAGTTTTCCAAAGTCAACAGTGCAGGACAGGTGTTTTTTTGTTTTTTGTTTTGCTAAACTCTTGCTTCATGTAGTGGTTGTGCAGAAAGTAGGGAAGGCTGTCATTATGAAGATGCGTTTAATGTCAATCAAACCGAACACACGAGGGTCAAGTGCAGGTTAATCTGTCACCGTGTTCACCCAACAGGAAAAACTGCAATCCAACACAGAGTTGCAACCTATGCAGATTCCAGTGGAGTGTGATGGAAACTGCCCAAAAAATGACACACAGCAATAACTGGAAAAAAACTACTTTTACCTGACTGATGCCAGTTTTCAGAAAGTTGCTTTTTTCATTTCACACACAGTAGATTACGACATGAGGCGACAGTACACGTGAAACTTAAGCTAACATTTATTCTTCGGTTTAGACATTATATCAAACATTGACATAACGTTTTGCACAGGTATTGTCCCATATTGTCCCAAATAAGTAGGTTCAAGTGGTTTGATGGGATCTGAACACCATATCTCCGTTATGTTCATAAACCATGAAGCAGGCAGGACATCGCTAGCTTAGCTTTGCTGGATGTAAACACAAGATGAGGGAATTCTTGTGATGATGGATACTCTGTAACTTCTTTACTTGATCTGACACGGGAACTTAAATCTAAAGCTTTTGAAGCCAGATATCCTAACTATAGTGTGTTTTCTGCGCTTTGATCTAGTTTAGAAACATCATATTCTTACATTTTATTCTCTTTACAGCTAATGAGGTGTGGAAACAGAGGAAATGTTGGCCACAAACACAATGTGAGGTGTAGTAACGTAACGTAGTATCTGAAACATTTTTCCGCAACAGGCAGCAGGACATTTAATCTTTTGTCACATCAGTACTGAGGTCAGTCATGTGAAATCAGTACATTTCAGAGGAACCACTGCAGTTAATTTTTCCATTAACTCCAACTCTGATGAACTCTGAGCTGCTGACAGTCTTTACAGTCAGATAAAACAGACAGCTAGACAATACACAGCTATCAGAGCGTCTGAACTGGGCTGTACCTTCCAGTTTATTTTTACCTGCTAGATTAAATAGAGTTTGTTGCCAAAGAGCACCTCAAATGGAATCATTTGGGTTTGTTGGGTTTCTCTCTATTATTTTGAAAGTCTTCACCTCAAGATGTGCAGCGCCTTGAGAGGACTTTTGTGGTGACTTGGAGCTAACTGACAATAAATTGATAAGTAATTTAAGACTGGAGTTGATAACACAGATGTGTCTGATGTATCTTGTTCACTTGTCCTGCAAGAAGCTCACAGGTAGTTTAGAATTTACAGAGGACAGAGAAAATAGATCTAGTTCTAGTGACTGCCAAGCTGCCAAAGTCATCGTCAGCTACAATAGTTCACCTGCAGGTTTTCACCAGACAACACTTAAAGAAGAGAACATTTCATCCCCACGCAGTCTGGTCACATTACACCTTCATCCACACTCCTGCCAGTTTCCAAACCAGTATTTTCATTTGAACAACTTAAAATCTTTGTTACAAGTCAACAGATAGTTCTTGCAACAATTTGACTTTAAAATTAAAATTAGGATTGGTTAAGCTAATGTTTCAGTGTTACCCCTTGGAAAGTGTATAAGCACCCCAGACGTACAGGTATCCCCTGATAATAAAAGCTAGACACAAATATTACATCTAATCTTTTCTAAATGTGAATCTTTGTGTTAACTTAAAAGGTTCAGATGATGGAACATCTACATCTACTTACAGTTCGTTAGGTTAAGAACTGTCTTCCACTAGTTGTCCAGTGAATCTCTTTCACACTTTTCAACACTCATTCCTGTGTTGGTCTCTAAACAGCAGCATTATGTGACACAATAGTCCGGCTGTTGTCAAGCTACTGTGTAATTAACCCAAAAGATGTTGACGATGATATGAAAAGAAAACAAACATCCTGTTCACTGCAATGCTTTTTCAAGGTAGAGATAAGTTCCACTTTATAATACAACACATCAGTGGAGGAATAAGAACCATTCAGAACCTTTATTTATAAGTCAAACATACTAATACCACGTTACGAAAGTACTCCAGTACAAGTAAAAGTCATTTTAAAAATCAATGAACTAAATGTATTATCAGCACAATGTACTTGAAGTACTCGTATAGTATAATGTCCTCTGTCAGTGTTTCTTTGTTATATATGACGTTTGTGGATTCATATAACTGTTGCATGCATGTGTATGTTGCATTTAATTCTATAAATGCACATTGTTGAGTTTATTTTAAGTACTTTACAATGCTGGGTAAATCTACAGAAGTGCACAATGTTCATCATAAAATTTATGATATATCTCTAAAAATTCAGCCTTTCATGAGCTCACCTGGTGACATTTACATTTTCCAGCTCATAAAAAAGGGTTATTAAAGAGTTTATTAAGCTTAAGAATTGTTATTTGTTCAAAATCACCACATTAGGAGACAAAACTGTAACCTGAAAGGTAACTAAACCTGTCAGAGAAGTGTAACGGAGTAAAAGGAATAATATTTGCCTATAAGATGTAGTGGTGTTAAAGCACAGTGTCATGAGAAGAAAACACTCTGGTCAACTACAAGCAGCTAAACTTGTCCTGAAGAGCAGAACTTCTGTGAACCTGCTTAGTTACATTTCACCACTGAAAGGTTCTTAATTTACATTGATAGAAAGTATAATCCAGTCCCAAGTTTTCAATAAAGTGTATTTGCTGTTGCAGTTGAGATTTTCAGAAACATAATTTCTTGGAGAAAAACGTGATGACGTTATTGTCTTTAAGGTAAATATCGACTGTCTTGTTCATGCCAACATTTCACATGCAGCTATTCCCCACATGCTTTGACACATGAAGCCGTGGAATGGAGAAGGATAACGGATAAAACCCACATGGTTTAGTTTCAACTGCACACACACACAACCATCCATGGCTTAAAACAGACATATACAAAGTTAAGCTTCAGTTAATTGCTTCTATTGTAGAGAAGTGTCAGCAGCATCTGTGCAATCCTGCAGCCATCCTAGAGAGGATAATCCCGGATACTGAAGCAGGCACCACACTGAACCACAAACACACACACACACACACACACACACACAAACACACTCAAACCCCCTTTAAAATGCTGCACTGTGTCACAAAGGTCTAGGCAGAGCTGCTGAGGTGGAGACATCACTGGCTGTAAGACCTGCTAACGCTTCAGGCGTCCTCCTAAGATGTCAACCCTGAACACCGTGGAAGGTTTGCAACGGGACAACACAGGAGGCAACCGCCGCCCCGCTACACCCCACCTCATCCTGAATAATTCACTGGGATGTTGTCATCTGTGGGAAGTTTGTTGCAGAAGCCCGGACCATATGGCAGACGGTGCGAGAGCCTGAGAAGCTGCAACTCTGTCTTCTGCTTCTAATGAGTGCAGGGACTAATTGAGGAGACAGCTTGTGCGACATCTTCACTTGTCCAGCTGCAGCAAACACAAACAAGAAGACGCACGCACCTTCCTGAATGCAAATACAGAAAGACAAAACAAAGATAAGGGAAATCCATCCCTGTGGCAGAATGTAAAATGTGCCATTTACAGTATTTCTGTCTTTTAAATCAGTATTCTTTTGCTCGTTTTAGCCTTTTAACTACAAAGCGTGCACAATAGGGGTGAGCGATATGGCAAAAATATCATATCACGACATATTTATTGACTATCGCGAGCGTACATGTATTTTTGAGACTAAGTGTGGCTGGACCACAGATCACTTGTTGTGAAAAACTGGACATTCTGAACTTTTCGTTCAATCTTTTCTCGGCATTCAGAATAGAGACGTGGAATAGCAGTGTTGGAGAAGTATTTTCGGCTGGGCAGCTCGTACCGGGGGTCAACTACTTTGAGCAGGCATTTGAACCTCTCGTTTTCTACTGTCTTGAACGGAACCATATCTTTTGCAAGATAAAAGGTAACTGTTTCTGTTACCTCTTTCTACCGCTCGCTTGAGTGCCTTTATCAAATGCGTGTGTTAATGTTGTCTGTTTGGGTCCAGCTGTTGCCTCTGGCTGCAGTGCTGCTGGCGATCCCCTCACTGTTTGGCTCTAAGCATACTGTTTAGGGTGCTTTCTCGTCAAGTGATTGAACAAGTTTGTCGTGTTGCTATCTTACATGCAAACTGGCTCTGTGCAAACTTTACAAATTACCTTTGTTTGTGCTTTGTCATTTGAGGAAAAGCCAAAACAATTCCGCACGCAGGCTCCGATGGGCTGGAAGTGGGTGGGACGCACAGGCAGCATTTGGCTACTAAGACCGGTTTAGGTGTTCAGGTTAGTGGTCACAGGACCATGTCCACGGCGGTGGTGGCAGCGGGGGTGGGAGGGGGTGGGGGGGGCTGCGGCGCATATTCGGAGATCAACTCCTCCGTTTGGCTTTCAGTGATGGCTCTGCATGCAGCACCGCTACACACACAAACAAGGAGGCAGGTAAGAAATTGTGTCACTGCACCTAATTCGCTATGATTGGTCAGTCAGGTTGACTACGTAATACGTCTGGTGCGTCAGTGCATCAGCATAGAACCGCAATTTATGTGACCTAAACGATCCATATGATCTCCTCACTTTGGCAGATCGTCTACACGTTTAAATCGTTCGCCCTCCAGGGAAGTGTTGGTTTCATTTACAGAACAGAAATAATCTTGCAGAGACATGAAACTTGGTACCTTTGCTAATGCAGCAGGGACTGTTTTGTATCCTCTCCTTTTCATTGCACTCAAGGATTCTCTGACTTTTTATTTAAATTATCGATTTAAAAAAGGCGACGAGCGACTCAAACATAAATGTCACCTTTTGATGCACCGTACCAGATTACAGCTTCCAGTCAGTTTGCATCTTTGAAAGGAGACACTGTCTAGTTTGCGTGCATGTTTCAAAAACTTGCCACTGGGACTGTAGCCTAAATTACCATCGCATTACAAAGTCAGTGTTTGTATTTGCTTCCTTGCACCATCCAGGCTTCTTTCATTTATTGAGTGATTGATTTAGAAGGGGTGGCGTGCAGCTCAAACATAAATGCCACCATTTGATACAGCTAACCAGAATATAGCTGCAAGCCATGTGTAGTCCCTGCAGGTCAGAACAGAAAATGATACAACAAACAGCAACAGAGTGGTAATAAAACACAAAATTATACAGAAAGGAAGAAACAACACAAAACTACACACAACAGCACCACCACTAACGTGTACTTGTCAGATAAATGAGTCATGAAAGCCATAGGATGGAATCTTAACATCAGTGAGTGCAGAGCTGAGCAGCTTTCAGTAGATTTTTTAGAAAGTTGGTTTTGAAAGTGCTGATAGAAGTGCAGCACCTCACACCATCAGGCAGCTCATGACTTGTTACACAGAAAGCTGATTCCCAAATGCAGCACAGAGGAAAAGAAGCTAAAATGATGTTCCTATACAACTAATTGAAGGAAAACATAGCTCCATATAGACTTATTTATACAAGAGATTAATGTCTCCAAACAAAAGCATTTTCCATTAGCATATTTAATTAGTTATTTGAGTTCAGGATGCGGGTTGACAGGATTAGTTACTGTCAGCAAATCGCATGAAAAGACAGATTAAAGGATCGAAAGCAGCTGTGCTACCTTTCTCTCAGTGTTCTAACTTCACTGCTATCTGTAGCCACGTTTAAACATTAGAAAAAGTCAATGCAAACAGCAACAACATCTCTCAATTTTGCACTTTTTACATTCTCTTGCGGTTTTTAACTTTTTTCAGAACTAAGGTAAAGAACTTCATGGAAGAAGAAAACACATTTTCTAAATAAGTCTTTATTATAAGGCCCTTTCTGTCCAATCGTTCTCTGCTCAAGTCCAGCCCACCCACTGAGCTACTTTGTAACTGAGGCAGCGTTCATTCATTCACGACATCGCTGCTACACCAGCCTCTACAGATCGGCAAATCTCCTCCTCCTCCCCAACTTCCTCTCTATTAAAAGTTCAATTTTATAACTCTGTTTGTTTCTTATATTGTGGACTGTGGAATGCAGATGGATCATAATTGTACCTTGAAACTATGCAAATGGTCCTAAAAAATGAGGACCATTTCAGTTGGTCTCCCTGTTTTTATGTTTATACTGTGTTCATTGAACTTTGTAAATCTCAGGCTCTGCCTCGGAGTTTGTGATCTTAGGGACTGTCTTTGTCATGCTTGTTCAGATTGTTCCAGAGCATCACTCGAGCAGACTCACCGCCAAACACAATGTGCATGTCATTCCAAAGTAAATGACTAAATCTGACAGTGTCCTGTCTGAACTAATGTAAATGATAACTTATCAGCTGTTTGTCAGAGTTTTTGGTAGCATGGTTTAGTTTTCTGCTTCTTCTACTCTCTTTATCACAGCCAGCAATAGCTCTGTCTTCTGATACCACTACACGTGTACTAGCGATTGTTTTACACTTGGGGATGCAAGGAACTCCAGAGCGAGCATAAATATCACATCGATTGGATTTACCCTGATAATGCATAGCAAGTCTTTACATAAAAGTCAGTCCACAAACTTGTTTACATGTTTTCATGTTGTGATGACACATGATGTGATTCTTTTTCTTGTGTTTTAACCAGTGACATGCAGTGAGGTTTCATCACAATCACATTTACAAATATATGCACTCTACAGAGTAGCTTATTTGCTATTTGATCAGCAGCAGTTAGGAGTGGACGATATGGCAAAAATATCATATCACAACTTTGTGATAAAATCGAAATCATGATTTTAAAATAAAAATCTTACATGTAATTTTGAGACTAATTTGCAAGTTTCTGGTCAGTGCAACCAAACCATTTCTGTATGTAAAGTGATTGAACAAGTTTGTCGTGTTGCCATCTGACATGCGAACCGTCTCTGTGCAAACTTTGCAAATTACCTTTTTTTGCGTATTGTCATTTCAAATCAAACCAAATCAAGTTTATTGTCATTTTGCTGTACATACACAGTAGTACAGGCAAGATGACAGAGCGTTTCTTCACGATCATTTAATTAGTAAGTTTTGCTGAATGACTGTCTGGGATAGACAAGACACTAAACGTTCATTCTCGCTGTCTCCTGAAGGGGTCACTGTGTCCATGCGTACTGTCATCATGTTGAACATGGCGAACCTCTTCAGGTCCTGGTAGGTCTTCATGGACACAAAGACACACGATGGTGTGACAATGGTGAAGCCGCAGATGCTGCCCAGAGCTAGCTGCCTGTCTGTCTGCATCCCCTCCAGCTGTATGTCCGTCTGGGATGTTGTCATGGAGCCATGTTTCTGTTAATGCAATCACACTGTGGTCCCTCCACTCTCTGCGGGTTTCTCTCAGCAAACATAGCTTGTCCAACTTGTTGTGGAGGGAGCGAACACTGGAGAGTAGGAGTCACGGCACTGCTGGTCTGGAGGGCTTAGCCTTTAGCCTAGCATGGATCCCAGCTCTTTTCCTCCTCCTTTGTTTACGTTCGTACCGCCTGTGCTTCCTTCTCTCTTGGGTAACTGCCGGCGTAGTCTCTGATCGGACTCTGTGTTGGCGTTGTATGTCCACATCACAACCGAGTGCTGCAGTTTTAGTGATGTTCATTGCCCTCATGTTCAGCAAAGTCTATCGGCTGTAAGTTTCGTGGAATGAACGTCTGGGATAGACAATTTGAGGAAAAGCCAAAAGAATTCCAAATAATGGAAGTGGAGTTATTTTCTAGCAACCAACTCCTCCGTTTGTCTTTCAGCCATGGCTCTCCATGCGGCACCGCAACACACACAAACAAGGAGGCAGGTAAGAAATTGCGTCACTGCACCTAATTCGCTATGATTGGTCGGTCAGTTTGACGACGTAATATGTCTGGTACGTCGGTGCATCAGCATAGAATTGCAATTTATAGAATGTGACCTAAACAATCCGTACGATCTTCTCACTTTGGCAGATCGTCTACATGTTCTAATCGTTCAACGATCTAATATCGTCACAGCGTGCACCCCCAGCAGCAGTTTACGAGTTATGTTTCCTGTCTGCATTCTTTACACATTCATACTGTAGCCCACAAACCGCACATTTCATTTAAGGAAAAAAACAAAAAAGACTGTCTTACGTTTGTTTATAAAAAAAGTCCATGCACTGCTGATTTTGGACAAAAATATCCGTTACTTTGAAAGTCCACTTTAGAAAATTGTTTAAACTGAGAAAGTCCCCCATGTTGAAAGTCAAACTGGGCGAGAGGGAAAAAAAACAAATGGATCGCTGCACTTGACTTGCTAACTGTATATCGGACCTAGTCTAGTTTGCAGTCACTTACTCTGCAGCCACAGAGTCACAAGAAGAATGACCGCGAGCGCCCCCTGCCATGAGGCAAGAGAACTGCCTGCCTCACCTAGAACCTTTTCTCAGCGATTTATGATCGCTCAGCACACGAAACACGTTACACACATACAGTTGGTAACAAAGAAACACTGTGCATTATTATATACATCAGCTGAACTATGGAAAATCAGTTCATATATTAAATGTGTTTGAACCATTTTATTTGCAACATTCAGACAGCAGCACGCTGTCACTGCATGGCAGCCAGTGCAGGTAGCGAGGGATTTCACAATCCAAGGTGAGGCTCAGCTCAGCTCGCTGCCTCACCAGCTTCTCTTCCAAGCATCTGAATGGGAAATTGAGAAAATTTAGCGATTTTGAATTTTAAGAATCATCAAAATTCATTTTTATAGTACAAATCACTGGATAAATATAACCCTTTAAATTATTTTATCATTAAATTTTTTTTCTTTCCATGACAGCCTCACCACCCCCCCCCCGACCGCATGTCACTGGTTTTAACAATGGAGTTCCAACCGTCTTCCTGTCTGTGTTGTGTGAGACTAATTTCAGTGGCGCATTAATCTAAATTTGGCGCTCTACTGAGTATTTGGGG